AATATATATATATATATATATATATTACAAATGTATAGCTAGATTATATATATGTATAGATTTCCATACTTGCATATATATATATATATATATATATATATACATATAGATATATGTACATATACATATGTATATATATATATGTATATTTAAATGAATATGTTTATACTAATAAATTAATATTAAAATATAATCCGCTCACCTCGGCGTATTTCTGCTACAGCTGCCTTCCGCTTCAGTGCCTGCAATATTAGCAGCAGCAGCAGCAACAGCAGCAGCAGCAACAGCAACAGCAGCAACAACAGCAAACCAAAGATGCAGTTAAAGGAGAAAAAGAGATAAGGGGAGGCAGACAGATAAAGAGCGACAGAAAGAAGAGAGACAAAAAAACAGATATCAAAAGAGAGACAGATAAAGAGATAAAGAAAGGGACATATAAGGAGGGGTATAAAGATATATATATATATATATATATATGAGACAAATATATATATATATATATGACACAGAAAGAGACAGACAGAGAGACAGACAGAGAGACAGACAGACAGAGGGAGAGAGATAGATAAACAGAGACAGACAGAGAAACAGAGACAGAGAGAGAGAGAGAGAGACTGAGAGAGAGACAGAGAGAGACAGAGAGAGACAGAGAGTGAGACAGACAAACAAACAAAGACAGAGAAAAGAGAGAAAGGAGACAGCCTAAATGCTGTACTTGAACAATGTGTCTCTCGCCCTCTTCTTTTGCTGCTGCGACTGCACTCTTCGTCATTTCGTACAGACTCCCATCCGTCCTCTCAGGAAACAAACTCTAAACATATGCAGCAGCAGCAAATGCAGCAGCAAATGCAGCAGCAAATGCAGCAGCAAATGCAGCAAATGCAGTAAATGCAGCAGCAAATGCAGCAGCAAGTGCAGCAAATGCACAAGCAGCAAATGAAGCGCCAGAAAATGCAGTAGAAAATACAGCAGCAGCATGCACCAGCAGCAAATGCAGCAGCAAATGCAGCAGCAAATGCAGCAAATTCAGCAGCAAATGCAGCAAATGCAGTAACAGCAAAATGCAGCAGCAGCAAATGAAGCGCCAGGGAATGCAGTAGAAAATACAGCAGCAGCATGCACCAGCAGCCAATGCAGCAAATGCAGCAGCAAATGCAGCAAATGCAGTGGCAGCGAATGCAGCAGCAAAAGGAGCAGCAAATGCAGCAGCAGAAAATACAGAAACACCAACGCGAGCTGCAGCAGGAGAACCTCCTGCTGCAGCACAGGCCGCGAATACGCGGCGGCTGCTGATTGCGCTTGACGCTGTTGCAGCAGCAGCAGCAGCAGCAGCAGCAACAGCAGCAGCAACTGGAGCAGCAGCAAATGGAGCTGCAGCAGCAGAGACCGAATAGTCAGACACAGATAAGAGGGAAAGAAAATAAGAAACGTATAGACACTGAGGCGCCACCAGCAGCAACAGCAGCAGCAAATGCAGCAGCAGCAGCAGCAGCAGCAGCAAATGCAGCAGCAGCAGCAACAGCAACCGGTTACTTTCAGTTTGGCGTAGAGGTGGGCAAAGAGAATATCGTGCGGCTGCAGCCGCCTAATTTGCTCCTGCTGCTCCCGCACCACTTTCAAGTGTTTCCTTGCTGCTGCTGCTGTTGCTGCTGTTGCTGCTGTTGCTGCTGGCGTTGTTACTGCTGGTGCTGCTGTTGCTGGCGTTGTTGCTGCTGCTCCTGGTGCTGTTGGAGTTGCTTCTGCTGCTGCTGCCGATGCTTCTGCCGCCGGCGTTGTTGCTGCTGCTGAAGCTGTTTCTGTTGGCGTTGCTGCTGCTGCTGTTGCTGCTGCTTCTGGCGCTGCTGCACCTTCATTTGTTACTGCGGGTGAAGTAGCAGATGCAGCAGCAGATGAAGCAGCAGCTGCTGTTCCATCCTCCTTCGTAGTTGCTGCAGGGTCAGGCTGCTCCTGCTGCTGCTGCTGTTGCTCTTGCTGTGGTTGTTCCTGCTGCTGCTGCTCATTCTTACTGGCACTTGTTTCATCGCCCTCTTGCTGCTGCTGCTGCTGTTGTTGCTGCTCCTGCTGTTGCTGCTGCTCCTCCTGTTGCTGCTGCTCCTGCTGCTGCTGCTGCTCCTCCTGCTGCTGCTGCTGCAGCAGCAGCTCCGGAACAGGCAGCAGCTTGCAAGAAGGCAGGGGGTGCAGCGGCAGCAGCTGCTTACCCTTCTCCTGTATCCGCAGCAGCCGCCGCTGCAGCGCAGCACGAAAATCCTGTGGCTGCTCCTGCAGCGAGGTTCCTGCAGCAGCAGCAGCAGCAACAGCAACAGCAGCAACAGAAGCAGCAGCAAAAGTAAGTAATTTAATACGGGGCCCAAGGTGGGAGACAGTATAAAAATTTGTTTTATTTATTTTTTTTAATTTATCTCTCTCTTATTCTTTCTTTGTTTATCTTTGAGGCGAGAGCAGCAAACAAACAAAGCAAACTAATAATAATAAAGATAAAGAAATAATAAAAAAGATAAAGAAATCATAATAAAGATAAAGAAATAAGAATAAAGATAAACGAATAATAATAGAGATAAACAAATAATAAGAGAGACAAACAAATGAGAAAAACAGAGAGCAGGGGAAGCAAAGAAAAACAAACAAAGAGATAAAGACAAAGATAAAGACAAAGACAAAGACAAAGACAAAGACAAACAAATAATAATAAAGATAAACAAGCAAAGACAAAGAGAAACAAAGAAAAAGAAAAATTAAAAATGAAACAAACAAAGAGGACGAGAACATACAAATAGACAAAATAAAGACAGACAAACAAAACATAACAAGGAGAAGAAACAGAGACAAACAAGCAGAGAGAGAAACAGAGAGAGAGACAGAGTGAGAGAGACAGAGACAGAAAGGGACTGTAGAAGATAGAAGAGGAGAGAGAGAGAGAGAGACAGAGAGAGAGAGAGAGAGAGAGACAGAGAGAGACAGAGAGAGAGAGAGACAGAGAGAGACAGAGAGAGAGAGAGAGACAGAGACAGAGAGAGAGAGAGAGAAACGAAGAAGAAAAGAAGAGACGCAAGAAAGGAGACAGATTATTATTATTATTATTATTATTATTATTATTATTATTATTATTATTATTATTATTATTATTATTATAATGGTAATGATAATGAAAATAACAATAATAATAATAATAATAATAATAATAAGAAGAAGAAGAAGAAGAAGAAGAAGAGACAGTTAGTTGTACTCACTTGCTGCAGCAATATCTTTTTCTTTTGTCTTAGCAGCAAACAGCAGCACCTCCGTCGGCATCTCGAAGCAAACGGGCCCCTGACTTAAACCATGTGCATATATCACTTTGCTGCTGCAGCAAGCTTCCTCTATCTCTGCTTGAGCTGCCTCGCGTGCTGCTGCTGCTGCTGCTGCTGCTGGTGAGCCTGGACCCGCGTCATCTTGCTGCTGATCTTCCTCTGACTCCTCCGATGCTGCTGCTGCTGCTGCTGCTGCTGCTGCTGTTTGAGGGATTTCAATGTCGCTGTCTCCGTCTACGGAGCCATCGCCCCCAAAGAGGCCCCACTCATCTTCTGCTGCTGCTTCTGCTGATGCTGAGGGTTCTGCTGCTGCTTCTGCTGATGCTGAGGGTTCTGCTGCTGCTGCTGCAGGAGACGTTGGTGCTGCTGCTGCTGCTGCTTCTGTTGTTGTTGTTGTCTCTGTTGTTGCTGCTGCTGTTGCAGACAACTGGTCGTCAGTTGTATCTGCTGCAGATTGTGCTGCTGGAGCTGCAGCCTCCGCTGATGGTGCTGCTGGGGGAGCGACACCCGCGCTCTCCGTAGCAGCAGCAGCAGCAGCAGCAGCAGGAGCGGCAGCAGCAGCAGAAGACGAAGAAGCAGAAGCGGAAGCAGCTAAGAGAGTTTGCTCTTGCTGCTCCAGCCCCTCATAGGGCTCGTGGTCACCCATGTCCTCTATGTGGAAACCCTAAACCCTAAACCCTAAACCCTAAACCCTTCCCCGGTAAACCCTTGCTGGGGCCCCGTTGTTTTATTTTGTGTTTATTAATATAATTTAAATTTAAAAATAAGCAAACAAATGTTTTTTTTAGCTGCTGTTGCAGCTGACGCCTATTCTGGTGGGCAGCCATTTGGGGGGTGTTAGGGTTTAGGGTTTAGGGTTTAGGGTTTTGTGCTCACAAGCAGCCAGCGGTTAGGGGGTTCTAGACGGCATATAAAGAAGGTTTTTTTGTTTATTTATTTATTTATTTATATTATTTAATTTATTTAATTTAAACATTCGTGTAAATATGTAAGTTATGCATATTTCTTCTCTCTCCGCTGCCCGCTGGCTTAACGGGGCGCCGCCGACAGCAAAAACAAAAATATGAGAATGAACGCAAATTATATAAATTTAAATTTGTTTTTAATATGATGCATTTGCCTATACACTTTACTTTATTTGTACTTGTTCTATCTATGTATATACATACTTGTATTCATCCATATATATACTTGTTATATACTGCTTTTATACATACACATATACACATGTATATACATATATATCTATATATATATATATATGAATACATATATCTGAAAACTCAGGTGTGCGCAGGTTGTCATATATATAAATAAATATATATATATATTTATTTATTTATACATGCACATATAAATAATTGTAGTATGGGCATACCAGTACGAAACCTATGGATAGACGTAAATATATATAAACGAATAGTATATACATATATGTACATATATATATATATATATATATTTTCTTACTATTCCCTCTGCATCCTAAGATCGGAGTGTACGAAGGGCCCCTCCGTCTCTGCATGCATTTATGATTATATCTTTCTATTTACATGCAGCAAGCCTATAAGTGCTAGCGAAGAAAGATGTTTATCAAACAATTCAGGTGCTGTTTATGCATGCATCAAATGGGGCTGCATGCGTTTTTGTTGGTTGCGAGTAGCAGCAGCAAGAGTGATACGGCGTATCTATAGCTGTCTCTGCTGTCTCTTCTATTTCTTCTGTCTCTTCTGTCTCTTTCTTCTCTCTCTTTTGTTTTTTTTTCTTTTCCGTATCCTTTAGCTCTTCTGTCTCTTTGGTTTCTTTTGTCTCATTTGTTTATTTTATCTCTGCTGTCTCTTCTGCCTCCTCTCTTGTCTCTTCTTTCTTTTTTTTTTCTGCTGTCTCTCTTCTCTCTCCAATCTCTTTAACTCTTTTTTGTCTCTTGCTTTCCTTTTGTCTCTCTATTTTCTTTTGTCTCTTTCTTCTCTCTTTTTTATCTCTTTTCTCTCGTTTGTTTCCTCTCTGCATCTTCATTAGCCTTTGTTTTTTTTGCTGCTGTCACCAACCGAAGTAAAAGCAGACTGAGCAGTTGTTGCCTCTCAATATTAAATAATTATTTAAATGCATTCACATCTATTTAAATATTTATTTTAATGCATTTACCTCTATTTAAATATTTATTTTAATGCATTTACCTCTATTTAAATATTTATTTTAATGCATTTACCTCTATTTAAATATTTATTTTAATGCTTTCATCTTTATTTAATTATTTATTTTAATGCTTTCATCTTTATTTAAATATTTATTTTAATGCATTTACCTCCATTTAAGTATTTATTTTAATGCTTTCATCTTTATTTAATTATTTATATTAGTGCATCTTTCTCTATTTATTCGCATAAATGCAGTTATCTCCTTGTTAATATTGATTTAAATATATTTATATCCATTTGAATATTTATTTAAATGCATTTATATCCTTTTAAACATTTGCTTAAATGCATTTTTCTCTATTTATGTATTACAATATATTTATCTCTTTGTAGCTATTCATATAAGTACACTTATATCTATTTGAATATTTATTTAAATGCATTTAAATATGTACATATATATATATATATATATATATATTTAATCAAATTTAAACGTTTGATTAAATGCATTTCTATCATTTTAAATATTTATTTAAATGCATGTATCTCTTTTTAAATACTTTTTTGAAGGTATATACCTCGTTTTAAGTATTTATTTGCATGCATTTATATCTTCTTAAATATCTATGCAGATGCATTTATCTCTATTTTAAATATCTGAATAAATTTATAAGCATAAGCAGCAGGCAAACATAACTGCTAAATTATTAATATGGTTGTTGATGCATTAAAGACAGAGAAAAGAAGAAGGAAAATAAAAAACAGTAATAAACAAAAGGGGTTTATTATATATTTTGTCTTGTAAATATTTGTTTGCTGCTGCGAGTACAAGAGGCTAAGGGCGGCCATAGATAAGGAGGCTACTAAAAAGTATTTCTTTAAATGCATTACTACACTAAATAAATTTTCTAAACATTTTTCAAGACATTTGTATATCCCTTTGAGGCAGTCTATACACTATACTAAAGGGCCTCTATTCTCTTAACCCGGCGTGGTAAGCATATCTTGATTATTAAAAAGCATTTATTTTTAAAGTATTTATCTTTATTTATTTAATATTAATTATTTAAATTCAAAGACAAGGATCTATGTAGAAGATTTCAATATCATTGCTTAGTAGCGGTGCTGCTCTACTGCAGCAGCAGCCACGCTGCAGCAGCCGCAGCAGCAGCAGCAGCAGCCTTCAGTGTAGCAGCCCTCTTAGGTTTTTGTTATTATTTTGAGTGTATGAATATGTCAGTAAACGATTTTGATTTGGTTTTATCCTTTATTTGTATTTTCTTAGTTTTTTCTGCTTTTTTTTACTCTGTTTTTGCATACAAGTTCCCGAGCCGTGGTCCAGTGGTCTGGTTAGATCTGCACAGCAACACACCACCTATATTTTAGTAGTAAAGTTTGTTTTATTCTTCGCTTTAAACTTCATTAGTATTGCTAATTTAATATTTAATAGATGGATTATTATATAGTATTCATTGCACCTATTATAGTACTAATGACATATATAATATAGATTATTTTTTTAAATATCTACCGGTCTTAGTCTCATTATTCAGCTTCTTCTTCCCCTTCGAAGCTCCTTCATTAACAAGAAGCCCCATATAGAGCTTCCTCCGCGGCTCCTACACTTGCCCTTGCATGCGGAGATGTGTGACCGCTCCAGCAGCAACAGCAGCAACAGCAGCAGCAGCAGCAGCAGCAGCAGCAGCAGTACGCCTGATATCACTGCAGATGCTTCGTTTCTACGCTCCCAGACTGTATTGACAGTGCCTAGGAGCAGCTTATCTCCTTCTGCCTTCGTTGCTGGGTCCCGGGTGCATCGGCATGCTGCTGCAGGTCTCCGTTTGGAGGCCCCTCAATCTAAACCCTTCTTCAGAGGGGGCCCCCCAGCAGGAGATGTGGGGCCCCACACCAACGCCTCGCTGCGCCTGGGAGCGGCCCTCAGCCCTCCTTGTAGGGCGGCGAAGATTGGATTGCAGGCTCATCGCAGGCTGCAGCAGCAGCAAGTGGAGCAGCTGTTGCTGCAGCAAGAGCAAAATAATCTGCAAGCAGCAAACGCCCTCTCCCCCTCAGAGTCAAGGGTTCCAAGGAAAGGTAACCAGCAGCAGCAAGTGCTGCAGCAGCAGCAGAAGCAGCGAGGAGAGATCCTGCAGCTGCAACACCTTCACGCACAACGGCGAAGACAGCAACAGCCTAGGGCCCAGAAGCAACAGCAGCAAATGCAGGATCCGCAGCAGCAGCAGCAGCAGCACCCGCACCGACAGCAGCAGCAACGGCAGAAGCAGCAGCAGCACCACCCAGAACAGCAGCAAGAGCCGCATGCCTCTTCTAAAGCCAACCGCCGGAGAGCAAGAAGAGGCGCGCAGCGGCAGAAGGAAAGAGAATCTCAGGAGGGCCCTCTAAGCGCATTGCAGCAAAGTGAAACCTCCCCTGGGATCCGATCCCCGAGCCAGGAGTATATCCTTCAAGACACTGAAGTGGGTCAAACCAGCAGCAGCAGCAGCAGCAGTAACAGCAGCAGCAGCAGCAGGAGCGAGGCGGATTACTCGCCGTTTCAGAGGCCGTTGCAGAGCCGCTCCAGTCCCGTGGAGGCCTCTTCAAGGGGGCCCCACATAGTTGCAGCAGCAGAGAGGGGCCCCCACATGGGTGCAGCAGCAGCTGAGAGGGGCCCCCACGCCTGCCGCAGCGCCACTGCAGCCTTTTGGGGGCTTCCGAGAGGAATGGAGGAGGGCGGGGCCGAGGCGGAGATGTGCGTAGAAGAGGAGAAGTACTCCGCTGCTGCTGTTGCAGCAGCAACAGCTGCTGCTGCTGCTGCTTCTTGTGCTTCTGCAGCAGCTGTAGAAGCAGTTCGGAAACCTGTTGAGGGCCCCCTAGAGGATCAGCGGCTCCTCACGCGGCAGCTACGGGGCCTCCAATCGGCTGATGAGCCCGTGGAACTACAGCTTCTTGCTGCTGGTGGGGGCCCCTCTGAGAAGCGACAAACATTCGGGGAGGCGGTCATTCATGCTTACGGGGGCCCCAGGGGCCCCCACCTCCCTGTAGATATCCCTCTAATCCAGTACCCTCCAGAAGAGACACCCGAATGGGCAGACGCAGAAACATTTGCTCCTGAGGGGCCCCCACGCTCATCCCCCCCTATGGGGGCCCCTGAAGAAAGCTCTACGGGGATCCCTATGGGAGCCCCTATGGGGGCCCCTATGGAGTCCTCCTTGGGGGTCCCTATTGGGGCCCCTATGGAGTCCCCTATGGGGGTCCTTATGGGGGCCCCTATGGAGTCCCTTATGGGGACCCCTATGGGGGCCCCTGTCGTAGCCCCTATGGGGGTCTCTATGGAGGCCCCTATGGGGGCCCCCATGGGTAGCCATGTTGAAGAAGTTTACGGATGGTCTTGTCAGGAGACGGATATAACTGGGAGGGAAGTACTGGCGAGCGAGGAAGATACAGCGCAGCACATTGATGCATGCGGCTACGGCAGCGACAGCAGCTGCAGCTGCTGCCATTATGACTGCAGCAGCAGGGAAAGCGAAGACGGCAGCAGGCGCAGCAGCTGCAGCAGCTGCACTAGCTGCAGTAGCTGCAGCAGCTGCTGCAGCAGCCACGCGTCAGAGGAAGAACGGAATGCAACAAACGAAGATGAGGAGGCGAGCCTTGCTGCGGAGCTGCAGCAGCAAGACACTGAAGCGGATCAAACCCGCCGGAGCGGCAGCAGCGGCAGCAGCAACAGCAGCAGCAACAGCAGCAGAAGGATGGCGGGATCTTCAGAGAAGTTAACAGCGGATCACTGGAAGGTACAACAAACGAATATGGTGCTTGATGTTGCAACTCCCGCAGCAGAAGACGCAGCAGCAGCACTCTCACAAGAAAGTGCTGCTGCTGCTGCTGCTGCTGGGAGGCAGAGACGCAGCACAGCAGGAGGGGCTTGCCTGCTGCACCGCCGGAGTCCATCTTCTGCCCTTCTCTGCAGCAGCAGCAGCAGCAGCAGCAGCAGTAGCAGCAGTAGTAGCAGCAGCAGTAGTAGCAGCAAGGAGCATGGTCAGGGCTGTAGCCGGGAGAAGGCAGGAAGCAGCAGCAGCAGGAACAGCCGGAGCAGCAGCAGCAGCAGCAGAAGCCGTGGGCGTCGGCGTCGTCCGCTGCAGAGCAGCGAGAGCTGGCACAAGGAGGGTATGCAGCAGGTGGGATTGAAGCGCCTGCGTGGGTGCGCTCGTTTTGTTCACCAACAGCAGCAACAGCAGCAGCAGCAACAGCAGCAGCATCATCATCAAGGGCATTTCTTAGGGGGCTCCTCCGTTCGTCTACCTCGTCAGGTGTATCTACGTGGCCCCCAACAAGATCGTATGGTGATATTTGATTGGGATGATACATTTTTTCCTAATTCATGGATTACAGCTCGAGGCCTAAGTTTATTATCGGACCCGTGGGAGTATGAAGAAGAGGCCGGGTTGCTGAGGCGTTTAATGCGCAGTGGGGCGAAGGTGCTGCGTGCTGCTCTCCGTGTCTGCAGCGTTGTTCTTATCACTAATGCTGCTCCTGGGTGGATTGAAGAGACATGTCAGCACTTCTTACCTTCTCTTTGGCCTCTTGTCTCTACTTTAAGAAGAACCTCCGCCAGGTTTCACTTCGACTCCCCATCCAAAGAATCCCCTTTTCTATGGAAGGTAACAAATATCATACAAAATCAATGTGGGCTGCATGCATGCATGCATGCATGCGTATTCATGCATGCATGCATTCATATTCATGCATTCATATTCATGCATGCATCTACTAGGCGTTATTGCATATATGCGTGAATCCGTGCACGAGGAATGTGCTGCATGCATGCACGTTCAAATGCACAAATGCATGCATGAATGCATGCATGAATGCATGCATGAATGCATGCATGAATGCATGCAGAGGCTTAAGGGGAGCTGTTGCTGGAGCGGGACCAACTGTGGGTGGGTTTGTTGGTGGATGCAATTGGGGTGTATATCCACCTACTTAGCCAAGTAGCCTAAATAGTATTTAGGGATTTAGGGTAGATGTGGGGTTTAATATATTTAATTGCGCAGCGCCTCGCCTTTCAAGATGAGGTGGAGAGACACCTGAAAGAATTTCAACACTGCCCCACAATTCTCTCCGTGGGAGATGGGCCCCATGAACGAGACGCCCTCTTCTTCGTTTATGGGTGCGAACAGGGCATACAAACCCTAAACCCTAAACCCTAAACCCTAAATCCGAAAGCGGAAATAAAAGGCATTTGCATAAATATATATATATATATATATATATATATAT